GAGTTCGTAATCTGCCCCCAGGTCTAGCTTATACTAACTGCGATGGCGAATGTCAAAACCAACGATCCCTATAGTTTGCAGTAGGTATCTGTTAAAGCAGCGTCTGGTGAGGTAGTGCCATGGTGCCACAGAACCATGGCAATACCTTATTTTTCTGAAAAAAAAAAAGATCTTCATATATGATACTTTGAAACATTTCTGTGAAAAACAAAGTAATGTCATGGCTTCATGTACCTTAGTACTACCGCTTCAGCCAGCGCTGATCTATTATAGAAGAAACTTTTTGTCTTTGATAAGACATTTTAATTTTGTTATGCTAAGCAATCATTTTTGATTTTTAACCCCCCTCTATTGGCGGTTTCAAATATGTTACATATATTAAAATTATTTTGAAATCGAATTAAACTGTAATTTTCAAAGTTACTGAAGGTCATATCGTTTTGAAAATATTTTTTTTGAATTCCTTGACCTCAAATTATATAATAAAATGTATAATCCTGCCCAAGTGAATTAATTTTGAAATTGAGGAAATTCCCGTCCGCCATTTTGAAAAAAAAAGCGAGATTGGGAGTCTTGAGGGTCGTAGAGCCTGGCTAGTCGGGTCAGATCTCTTAAAATGAGCTTCCTGACAACTATGCCAAATTTCATGCTTGTAACCCAATTTGGCGTTTTTTTTTTTGTGTAGGCTCTCCACTATCCTATGGTTTTAACCTAATATTGGTTGGTAAATTATTGAAAATCTTTGGACCAACACAGTGAACATAGTTTTGACATACCTACATACAATGTGATTTGGATTAAGTATTCTGCAAGACAGCAGTTTAAAAATAATTTATTTTCATACCCCATACAATGAATCCATAATCAACCCAAAATCAACAATTTATTCCACAAGAACAAAAAATATCACTTTCAAAGATTAAATATTTCTTTAGAATTTAAATAGGTATCATTTTCCGTATTTTTTCAATTAGGTACATATTTTGCATGTTCTTTCCATAAAAAAATTCAATAATATAAATACAAAAAGCAGATTACATTGGCAAACGGTATAGTCTAGGAAAATTGTCAAAAAATACCTGCATTGCAAAAAAAAAAATTATTTTAATGCAGAAAAAATTTCTTAATAAAAGTTTTATAAGATTACATTTCCTACAATTTCCTATCAACTTTTTTTGTTGTAACTCACCCCCATACAGCGGGGGGACACGTCCCTTAGGTTAAATTTTTTTATTTTCATTATAAATTTCAAACGGCCCTTATGACCACAGTAGGCCCTTAATCAAAAAAATCTTTAGATAAACATTGTAGAGCAAATAATGTTGCACATCTTTAATTTGAAACATTTTTTTGTAAAATCAATAGGTACCAAGTGATCGCCAATGGCGCACTTTCAAACCCTATAGCGCAAAACGCCAGAGGAGTGATAGCTTCGGTTTTATGATCACTTACCCGCCCTCTATCATCCCTGAAAAATTCATTTGGGTAGGTAATTTTTTTTTTGAAAATCGACAATTTTCCTGGACCTAGTACTGGACACTCAAATCAATCACGTTGTGTGTTACCTAAGGCTTTGGAATTCTGGAAGTGAGCACGCAGATAGTGAGAAAGCAAAACAATTGGTTTTACCTTGGGTTTCACTAATGGTAATGCTCATCCTGATGAATGATCACCGCAGCAACATATGCAAAACAAAATATATCCTCCTTGTCTTTTTGCACAGAAATATCATCTAATATTTGATAAATATTCCCAGAACTCACTGCTTCCTTGGCCTCGATCTGATTTTTTTTTTCCGAAATATCTAGACTTTCTCAGATTTCTCCAAACTTCTCCGTATTTTCTTCTGGAAAGCATTTTTTGTGCTTTTATAACACTTGTTTAGACACTGTGGAAACAAATCAAGTACGTGCATATGTGCCTACATGAAAATAGGCCTCTTATCAATGCTCAGACAGGATTTAGTGTCAGACATTCCTGTGAAAGTGCCTTGCAGACCGTAATTTCTAGATGGAAAATTGCTTTGGATTGCAAAAAAAATAGTGGGGGTAGTTTTGTTGGACCTCTGTAGGTCTTTTGAGACAATAAAGAGAAAATTTTGGATTTAAAAGTTACACAAATATGGTTTTGATGGTAGAGTGTTGAATTGGTTCTCGTCACAATACTGGAAAACAAGGACACAAAAGAAAGAATATAAGTAATGAGAATTTCTCTTCAATTAAAGGAAATGACCATTGTTTTCCTCAGGGAACCGTATTGGGCTCATAACTGTTTGTGCTCTATATTAATGATGCAAATGCAAAATACAGCTGTTTGCAAATGACACTCTACTTTTTGCTGAGGGTGATACAGAACAGGACATTATAAACTTATTAAATCAAGATCTAGAAAATATATATAAGTGGTTCTGCACAATAACAGTTTGAAAAAAACAAAATTATGGTATTGAAATTAAAATATTATGTGACTAATACTTACAATCATAATGTTGTAATAATTGATGGCAGTGAAATCGAACAAGCAAATAAATGTACTTGAATATTTAGAAATAATTATAGACGAAAACTTAGATTTTCCAATCACACAAATTATATGTATAACAAAGAAGGTATCCAGAAAAACTAATTTACTATGTAGAATAGGAAAAGATCTAAGTTCTTGGATGAAATTACTTATTTACAAACAATCACTTTTTTGTACCTGCTGCAATGTATTTTGTTAGCTTATGCCATCAATAAAGGTTAGTATTATTATTAAAATTTGAATATCTGAAAAATATCTCCTTCCATTTAAACTTCCTTGTCTTACGTTTTCGCATATTTTTATTAGATAGAAGGAACATAGTGTTGTTGCCAGATGACGGATGAAAAACAAAGTATATTTCCATTTGTTTAAAAATTTGTACAACATTTCAAAAATGAGTTGAATGTTATAGAATTGGTTGATACTCCTTGTAATGGCATTTTTACCCTGGTTACAACCAAATTCGAAAATTTATATAAAAATTAAAACCAATTTTACAATAAACCATTAAATTAGCAATTACCTTTTGTGGTTAGTATGAGTAATGCAGAAATTAACTCATTTTTATGGTATGCACTCTGCGATAAGGATAAGAATTTCACAATAATTGTGGTTTTATACAATCGATAAGCTATTGTATTAGTGGCTATTAGTAATGGCTACGTGATTTAAGTCACGAATCACTATACTTGGTACTTTGTGACTAATTATGTTTTTTTTTTTAACATCGTTTGTTTCTGGTTGGATAAAAAACACAAAAGGGATTTTATTTTCTCAAGAAAAATCAGAATAATGACATTAAGATGTCAAAACTTTCAAAATTGCATTAAAAAAATATAAATCGTATTTGAAATTGGAAAACTTTTTAGAAAAGAAAAATTGGCAAAAATGAAGTAGGTACCTAGCATTCAACTTAGAAGATCTCTTGAAACAGACAAAGGGAAATTTCGAAACATTCTGGGATACGAGCTGTGCTACTCAATTTGAGTGTATTTTTAAGTTACAAAAAAGAGCTATTCAATATTCTCTAAAATTAAAGAATAGAGCCCATTGCCGAGATTTTTTCAAAAAGTATTAAATATTAACACTTCCTTCCCTATTTATATTAGAATCAATCTGCTTAATCCGCAAACAACTATCCAGTATTTCAGAAAGGCCATTGCATAACTATCTACTTACAAACGTGGATTTTTATTTTATTTGCCACATCCTCCGAGTTAATTAAGAGCTCCATTCTACTCTCCAACGCAAAAAAGATGCACTATCATCTGCCAGTAGTAATCAAGTCCATATCATCTCTTCCTAAATTCTGCATAGCTCTAAAATCCTATTTATTAGAGAGATCCTTATACAGGGTGAGCCAATGGAAACTTTCCACCTCGATTTTTTGGATTTTAAATAAAAATCTCGAAAAACGCTCGGATACGTGGAGTTTTGATTTGAGGGGGAACTATTTTTTTTTCATCCCAGTAACTTTAACCCCCTAGCTGGAAGAAGAACAACCCCCCCAAATTTGAATAGGGGATAGGGGTCGTGTCATACCTCCTTTTAGAGGTCTCATCGAGTTCTTCATGATCCTAGATTTTCTTCTCATTATTTTTATCCGTATCGAAATGACAGCTTGTCAAAATTTTGGAAATAGAGTATGGTTTTAGTAGGAGTAAAAGCGATACTTACAACCCTTAATCAAAATACTTACAATTAAAGTTGTTTTATTATTATTATTATTAATTAGGTGTACCTCTACACGTGAAATTTATTTAAATTTGAAATTGTAGTATTTTAATTAGGGAGGTAAGTATCGCTTTTACTCCTACTAAAACCATAGTCTATTTCCAAAATTTTGACAAGCAGTCATTTCGTTGCGGATAAAAATAATAAGACGAAAATCTAGGATCATAAAGAACTCGATGAAACCTTTAAAAAGAGGTATGACACGACCCCTATCCCTATTCAAATTTGGGGGGTATTTCTCTCCCCAGCTAGGGGGTAAACGCTACTGGGATGAAAAAAACTGAAAAATTGTTCTCCCTCAAATCAACAATCGACGTGTCCGAGGGTTTTTCTAGATTTTCATTTCAAATTCAAAAAATCGGGGTGGAAAGTTTCCATAGGCCTCTGTATAAAGTAAATTACTTTTTTCTGAACACCGAATTTTGAGCGTTTCACACACTGGTTCATTGTTTATAGTTAATTTGTTTATTTCTGTTTTGACTTTGTATACAAGTAGATGTAAGCATATAATATATATTTTTATAAAATGTCGGCTTTAATCAGATAGGCCAGAAACTAGTTGGAACTTGTCAAATTGTGAAACCGCATTCTATTGACATTCTATTGACCTTGCCCCAATTTACTAACCAAGCATCATCGATTTCCAAGATCTCCAAGAATACTCAAATTTGTAGCATTCTGTATTCACTTCAAATTGTGAACATTCCTTTTTGAAATTTATCCATATTGAATGTCCTTTCTAGGATGACTCACATAATAGAACCCCCTTTAATAGCGCGAAAACTAGATTGGGTAAATACTGTTTGGCCCGAAAATTTGGATGGCGTGGCTTTTGATGGGAGACCTCAAGTTCAAAAATATTGTTTAATGAGTGTGAAGGATTCATACACAGATTTTCACATTGATTTTGGTGGCACTAGTGTTTGGTACCATGTATTGAGAGGAGAAAAAATATTTTTCTTTGTTAAGCCCACACCTGCAAACTTGGCCTTATATTCTCAATGGATGACATCCACCAATCAGAGTGAGACATTTTTTGGTGATCAGGTAAGTTAAGGCCCTAACACGTGTACCTAGATCTAATATTAATTATTATTTGTTATCATCAGGTCGATCAATGTTATAGATGCATAATTCGCCAAGGCCAAACAATGCTAATACCAACAGGATGGATTCATGCAGTATACACACCAGTAGATTCCTTAGTTTTTGGGGGAAATTTCTTACATAGCTATAACATTAGCATGCAAATAAATTGCTATGATATAGAACGAAAAACAAAGACAGAACATAAATATTTGTACCCTAATTTCATAACTATAAATTTTTTTGCTGCCCGAGGAATGTTGGAAGAAATTATTAAAATAAATATGGCTGGAGGGGATAGAGCACCTGAGAATCTCTTAGTTGGTTTGAAGGCACTTCAGCAGGCTATTAAACACTGGAATAATGAAAAAGATGTAAGTTTAACGTTTTTTATTGTGCTTAATACATTAAAGCTTGCTTATCTAGATCAATCAAAACTTGAGGTATCTGGATTAGTGATAGATATTTTTTTTTTGGTAATCTAATAGGGAAATGTAATAAAAATAAAAACCATAAAATTGGTTGTGAATATTTTTATTATTTAATGAAACTGAAGAAAAATCAATGTGTATTACATAATATGCAGCCAAGGAGATGAATTTATATCATGCACATTTGAAATAAGCAGTAAGTGAGCGACTCACAGTCACTGCTTTCATAATATTGGCAAAAAATTCAATTAAGCCTCATTCTCCTCAGTGCACTGTATGGCGTTTGGTGAATCAATTGCCTCGAAGGGTTTCACTTTAGGCTCAATCCCATGGGCAACTATCCATTCACAGATTTCTGATTCTTTCAATTGTTCATTATTTTCAATGCCAACTTTCTGCAGCTTTTATTTAATTTTGGTAATTAGTATGCACCAAGTTGAATAGACGCGAAACGGCTGCTGTAAGTCAAACTGCTGTTGAACAGAACATTTGTTACAATCATTTTATTAAAATGCTTTTCCTCTATACTTACAAGAATTGAAATCAGTTCAATGTTTGGTTTTAGCGAATGTGAGACAATTTTTTTCGATATTTAGAATCAAACCATTCAGACCAGTCGATAAATTAATTTAATTGTGACTGAAGTTCTTCACAATCATGATAACAATAAACTTGTCAGAAAATTTCGTCATCGTCAGCAAAATTGAGAATTGAGCTTCAAGAAGGTAGTGGTTTCTACTAGTTATTCATAAATAATACAAATGAAAGAGAGAAACACTATGGGAGCCCTGCGGAACTTCTCTGTAAAATCAATTCGAAAAGATACATACATAATCATTGAATGTTCACCAACGCCAGTTGCTCCTGGTGATGTACTTTTTCTAACGCAAAAAATTTCTATAAATACTATCCATCTGATATTTCTTTTCGAAGGCGCTCAATATGTAGTCTTGGTATTTACATACCTAAGCAAGTTAGTCAAAGAAGATTGAGAATTCTGAAAGCCATGCTGCTCATACAAAATGAATCTTTTGCTCCTTCACGTTAGATAAAAAGTCACTGGAGCATTAAAAACTTTTGGAATCGCAAAATCAATACAAAGGGCCCTATAGAAGGCAAAGTAAAATTACTGATAAATGAAGTTTCCCAAAATCAGGAAACGGGCCGGATTCCATGAAAGATGGACTTTTTGTGCTCCAAAGTTTAAAAGCCGACGCGTACTTAGTTGAGGCCTACAATTGATTGAACACAAAAAAGACCTTCTGGGCCGAATGGGATAAAACATTTCGCTTCAAGGTGCTATAATGTTTTCTTTTAGAATTCAAACACAACTAACCAACCAACCGGTTGTCTACTTTAAATGTCAAATAGATAACATGTCACTTGTAACATGGGCGTTTCATGTAAACAGGCACACACATGAACTTGATTATTCACATTTATTTATGCTTTTTATTTATGCAATAATTTAATGCATAATATTGAACATAAAATGTAAAACTTTTTTCTGCTGATTTTTATGTGCCTAGGCCAAAATCAATTACTTCAGGTTTGAATGTTAATGACAATGAAGTTTTGGTTATAGTATGCTTGAAGATTATTTTAGTTCAACAGTACTTAATATTTTTTGCATTATGGTGAAAGTAAAAAGTATTAATTTGCTAACATAAGAAGTATAATATGTTTTCTTTCTGTTCTCAGTACAATAATATTGTAATGGAGCAATTGCCCTATGGTGTAAATATAACGAAGCTTTTAAAGGACATAGGCAAGGAAATAAGGCACGCTGAAAGAATAATTAATCAAATAAATCCTCCAAAACCTGAACGAGAATCCAAAAGGAAAAGGAAAAAGCCAGTAAATAAGGATTTTGTAGATTATTCTTTGTCGCCCAGGAATTTCAACTTTGATGTATGCATTCTTTTAACCTAATTACATATATCAGGGGAAATAATTATCTACTTTTTTTTATAGTTTATGCCTTTACCACCAGCAGAATACAATCTCCCTCCAAACTATTCCAAAACGGCCAGTAACCTTCCAGGATTAAAATTGACCTTGCCAAAACCAGCTACGTTCCCATATGAAAGAATAGTCCCCGAAACTACCCAAGTAGTTTATGACAATCAACCCTTACCTAGTATGGATAACAGCGAACTTTGGAATATTCCGTTCGCTACTGATAGACCCCAGGAAACTGTTGCTGAATATAAAGGAGGGACTGTTCTGAAATTCAAATTGGGGTAATTTTTTTAACATATATGACTAATTTTTTAGTTTATCCAATAACTTGATTCACTAGATATTAAAAAAAAATTGTCTTGATAACAGGAATTGCCTGAAAAATGACATGATTATACTGGTCCATTATTTGTTTCTATATATTATTTTTAAATTCCAGAGCAAAAGATTTAGTTGCTCCTACTATAGTACAAACTCATGATGTAAATATGCCGCAAGGTCCTTATGGTGAAGGTTTTGAAAATAAGGATGTTTATGATTTTCATGACGATAGTGATAGAGATGAAGACTGTAATTTTACAATTGACGAGAATCCAAGCCCGAAGAAGAAAAAAGGTGGTATTAAAACAAAGTTGCCAGGTAATAAATAATATTGCTAACAATAATTACTTTAAATTCTTAATATTTTTCTTGACAGTTACCAAACAATTGAAGAAACATAAATCACCGATCACGCTCAGCACTAATGGAATTGAATCTCTTTTGCAAGCATTACCGTGAGTTACAAACTATGTGTAGTCTCGTTTTACTTCAAATCTTATTTATTTATTTATTAATCCCGAATGTTAGTTCAATAAATGAAGCATAATCTAATTATTGTTATTAGGGGTAGATCCCATGGTAGTACTTCACCTTCAACATCAGAAGCTATCGCTGGCATGCTTTCGATAAGCCAAAACTGGTCACCAACTAGTAAAAATAGGCGGTATGAAGCGGACAGCCCAGAGGAAGATGTGAATAATGTCCATCAAGATGAAGAGTATGGTAAGTAGGTGGAAAGACTTAGGGATTTCCTGAACCCTCCTTTATTCCCTACTACTACTCCATGGCAGCCTCACTATGTATCTTAAGGCATAAAGGATTGACTGTAGTTGACTAACACAGTTGCTAGTTGAATACTGGTTTATTATCAAAAATTATACAGAATTTATACAAAATTTCAATGACATTAAAATTAATTACCGAAATAATATAACATATTTAGAATAGAATAGTATAATTTGTATTTTACCCCAAAAAAACACTACTTATCACAAAGCTTCCTAATCCTATTCCACGCTTTTTTAAGCCGCAAATAAAAATTCACACTGAAGATATTTTAAAGCCTCAGTGGCTTGTTTGCCTGGAATGTATAATTTGTTTCTCCAAAGAAGGTAAACCTTTTAACACAAATTCAATATAATTAGCTCTATATTGGGGTTTCCAACCTTCTGTCGATATTGGAGGTTCATTTTGTCACATGTCAGGTGGGTGTCATAATAGGGTGTCATAATTTGGTTAATTCAAGGGTTGTTTTTTGTTTTTTTGTTTTAGGTACTCTTGTAACTTTTTTATAATTTAATTTTAAACCCAATAAATATTTTTTGAGTCAATTTAGCTGTGGACAACTTGTCTTGAAATTGGTGAGCCATTGTTTTACTTTTTCTTTAAATAAATAATACACAAAACACCTCATCGTGCTGCTACCATCTATTCAGGGGTCCAAACATTTGTCATGAAATATGTATTGACCGCGAAAAATAGCCCTTGTTTTCTAATTGCATGACTTACTATAAAGGACCCTGCCCAAAGTATACGGAAATTGTGTTTATGTCAGAATTGGCTGAATTTTGTATATAATGTAGATTACGCATTTCTGATTAAAAGTTACCATTGCACCAATCCTGAAAAATGACTCCTTGGTGTGCTACTGTAGCACACCACTGCGCCACAAGCTTACCCATTCACGCTACATTGAAAGTTCATTATAATCTCCAAGCGTTTTACTTGGTAAATATGAAATTAATTTTCTCAAAAAGGAGTCATTTTTCAGAATTGGTGCAATGGTAACTTTTGATCAGAAATGCGTGGTTTACATTATATACAAAATTTAGCAAATTCTGACATAAACACAATTTCCGTATACTTTGGGCAGGTCATGTCATTCACCTTTAATATTAGAATTATTCATTGTAAGAGATTTTTGGTCATAACTCGATATTTCATATCTTAAAAACCCTGTCGATTATACATATAGTAGGTATATAATATAAAAAATAATTTAAAAGAGATTCTCGATGTTTTCTTGAAGCATACTTACTGAAGATATCCGCCATAGTCTTAACTTTTCACAGCGTCACTCAAATTGGAAAGACTCCTGTGACCTACAATTTGTATTTGTTTTCCACTTTCTGGAAGTCAATGACCTTGTTAAAAGTATTATTGTTATTTTTATCGAATTTCTGTTTTGCAATTATTTTTATTCAATGGAGCTTCAGTGAATATATTTTCCAGTCTACCCAGCTTTGGACAACTCTGATGAGGAAGACATTCACATATTTAAACCTAGGGGCCGTACAAAAATCGACGAAGCTTGGAACCCTAAGGCGAGGGTGGGACCGCTTTTGCCTAAAATGAACCGTCCAGCTCGAGAAGGTACCAAAAAACAAGCGGTAGAAAAGGTACTGGAACACGCCGCAGCTACTAGAAGATCAGCAGATATTATTGCAGAGCTAAACAAGGTTGGTAGATCAACCTTTTATACTGTTTTGCCGAGCCCTGATATACCTACATTAGGCGCGTTTAGCGAGTTCAGCTGCTAATACTTAGCAGGAAAAATCATTGACTTCGATTACTTGCAGCAGTATTCAGTTCGCTAAATCGCTAGAAATCGATCTTTTTTTTTGATTTATGGAAGGTTACTTTTATGTTCTTCCAGTGACAGTGTCCAAAATGTTGCTGAAAGGCAGCGCTAAAAAAATCTGCTGCCAGTTTCGCGTATCAGCTGGAAGTAAGCATACTTTTAACATATCGTTCACCAATTCTGATTAGGTCAGCTCAGTTCAGCTGCTGAGCAGCGCTGATCGTCGCTAAACGCGCCCATTAATAGATATTTCACTGATGAGGGTAGAATCAAACTTATTTGGTATCGTGACATTGTCAAATGTTCACATTATGGTAGGAGGCATTGTCAACTACCAGTTCTGTTCTATCAGGCAAGTGAAAAATATATGTTACCTTTCCCATTTCATAATTTTTTTATAGTTCTTATCGTCGTGATAATTGCCATCTTTTGAACTTAAATTAATTATAATAATAATAATAATGTGCAATATGCTATAAGTCACTGGCGCCGACTACATGGGGGCATCGGGGCAGTTGCACCCATGAGAGCTCTCGTGGGGAATGCGGAAGTACAAATACAAGTGTTTAATGGTCATTCCAATGGTGGTTCAGCTATAAGTACTTGGTATTTGGCTTACTTTTAACTTACTTTTTGATTTTGTTTTTCTACTACTTGTAGGTACTTATTTCTTCGGGTGTATAGTGTGTCCCATTTTGGTTGTACATAAGGGATATCTCAGTTGCTATTGGAGTTAGATGGATGCGGTTTTCGGGAACGTTAGCTACTTTCCTGTAAAACAAAAGATGCCGTCAACAAAATTGTCCTCTCCCTTTTCGTTTTTCAGATACAAGGTGTTTTTGAAAATGTTGCATTTTGGGACACCCTTTGTATGTCGGCTCTCTCATAAGTGATCGAAAACGTGACAACGAGTTCCTATAGATATTTTTACGTAGATTCCAGAAGCGTTGCCAGTTTTTCTCTAAAAGCGATAGTTTTTAAATTATGAACCCAAACATACATTATTTCAAATGAGACACTCTACATATTATAAACTCATTGAATAGCTTTGCTTTTGCTGATTTCAATGATATAAAATTCGATAGCTTTATCTTTGACAGTTTTCGAGCAAACATTTTTTATCTGTTTTTGTCATGAGAAACAGTGTTACAGTGTTTTACTTTCTCATTTTCCTTAAGGTGTAAATCCCTTTCCTGAAACTTTGTTCCTTATGACAAAAACGAAGACAAAAACAAACAGGATGGAGATATATAGTGAAATTAATTAAACAGTGTATGCACGTGATCAAAATTAATGACATAAGCACGTCGCAATGTTGCCGCTATTAACTTTCGTTTCACTTTGACATACCATGTCTAGTAAAATTTGTTATCACTAAAGCAAACAAACATCGATTTTTATATGTATGTATAAGTGTATTATGAACACAATCTAAAAAAACTACTTACTTTTCGTCGTAAATTTGATTGCGAATAGAGCTAACATCAAGGTGATCTTGATTCGTAACCCGCTTCTTATGTGGACATTTTTTCTTTGGTGAATTTATCGCTAAATTATCCCTAACTTTTTGAGAGATTTTACATTGGATTTTACTCACAGTGGTTTTACCAATATTCAGTGCAGCTGCAACACGCTGGAAAAATATTCCCAATTAAAGCCCCAGAAGATTTATATTTGATAGTATCAATATACTTCACCTCTCTAACGCTATTTAATGGCAAAAAGGGGCCCCCATTATCTCGTTCCTGTTCAAAGAAACTAATTAGAGACGCAACGAGTTTCTGACTCTGACTATTCAATGACTTTGGCATTTTATAGATACACAAATAGAAATAATTCCAAATTATTCTTCAGTAACCGCAGATTTGCAGCAATATTTGGCAACATGACCCATGAGTGCCAACCTAAATGTCATTTTATCGGCCGATTCGGTTAAATGCCAACAGTGTTCTGTCTTTTGTTAACTAAGGTTAAATAAAAAGGAGAATAAGCTCTCAGTTTGAAACGAATTTTAATTTCTTACAAACTGCAATTGGCAATAATTTCGACGTCATTGATCACGTGAATACACTATTCAAATAATTTCACTATACCTATCAAACTTATACCATTGAAATCAGCAGAAGCAGAGCTATCCAAGGAGCTATTAATACAGGGTGTGTCACTTGAAAAAAACGTATATTTGGTTAATTATTCAAAAACTGTCACTTCTAGAGAAAAACTGACCGCCACTGAAATCTATGTAGAAAGATCTATAAGAACCCGTTGTCTTCTTTTCGATCACTTAAGAGAGAACCGAGATACGATTCAAGAGGTGTCTCAAAATGCAATATTTTCAAAAACACCTCGTATCTGAAAAACGGAAAGGACGATGAAGCCAACGTTCGCGAAAACCGTATCCTTCTAACTCCAATAGCAATTGAGATATCCCTTATGTTCAGTCGTGAGCATAAGAAGTGGGTCACCCGTTTTTCCCTATTGTAAAACGAGCTCATCAACTATACCTCTACGGCAATGACAGGGATTGTCATATTCGACAAAAAATCCATTGTAGAGGAAAGACTGATTTACCCAAAATAGCGAAAAATGACAAGACCTGTCAGTCGGGTGTCCCACTTTTTATGCTCACGACTGTATGTACAGGGTGTCCAAGATTCGATGGTTTTGCCGGGTTTCGGGTATTTCTAGAGGAGTTGGAAAAAATCTGACCCCCATGTGCGAGCCTTGATTTTCAAGAGAAGTTGGCCGGTGAAACCCGCATCTCGATATCTCGATTCGTTTTTAAGCCACAAAAAGTTATAGACCACCTGCCATACTCCACTCTTTTCAAAAACTTCTCGTAGCATAAAAACGACTTAACATATCGAGATGCGGTTTCCACCAGTCAATTTCTCTTGAAAATCGAGGCTCGCAAGTGAGCGTCAGATCTTTTCCAACTCCTTTAGAAATACCCGAAACCCCCCAAAACCATCGAATCTTGGAAACCCTGTATAACCAAAATGGGACACTGTGTTTATCCCCGTTCAACTGGTCGAAAATGCTAGAGTGTATAGAGGAACCATAGAGAACTAATTTGAGATAGGACACCGATGATGGTCGGAAGTGTGTCGTTTCCAAAATATAGGGTGTTGAAATTTAAACAATCCCCTTTCATATCATCTGAATGGCTAATGCTAGGCCGTTCAAATTTCTCGGGAATATTGATGTAGGAATGATATTTAAAAATTCGTATAATGCACCCCCATTTTCTACCTGGAACCACCCCAAAAAAAAATAAACATAAAATTTGGAAAAAAAGCAATTTGTTTTATATTTTATTTTATTTTTTTTGGGGTGGTTCCAAGTAGAATTCTTGAAATCCGGCTAAATTGGCTTTCAAGTCGTATCTGGTCTTCATTCGGTAAGTCGGCATAATGGGGATTTTTGACCAGTTGAAGGGGAACACCCTGTATAAATAAAAATAAATACATTATTAAATGTATGTTTAAAATTTATACTGCCTATCCAGGCATATACGGGGGGGATAAAATCGAATACAAAAATTGAGCGAGGGTTGCTCTAGTGTTGCCCGAATTAGCACGGAAACACTATAAAATAGACGTTTTTGGGCGTGGCATCCGTGGGACCATTTTTCCCTATAAACAAATTTATAAATTCATTTATTATTATCCTGCACCCATGAGGACTTTCAAAAGTCGGCGCCGCTGCTATAAGTTATTATTTATTATTTTAGGAGATATTGGTGAAACGGCAATACAAACGTAAGAAGCCAAAACCAAAACCAGAAGTTCAAACACAATCAAGCCATTCAGCTGGACCGCTTGTATTACCTGCAAGTAACAGTGCACCTGTCAACAGAGTCCCTGTCAAAACACCTAATTTAGTACCACCATCGAGTTCCAGTGTCGCGGTTGTGAATAACAGCATCACATCTAGCGCTAAGCCCAGAAAAGGTATGAAGACTGTTAAGCAACGATTAGGTAAAATTTTAAAAATACACAAAATGATTCATTGAGCCATGTTTAGATATTCTAAGTGTTTCTATTTTTATAAGAATATAACTCTCAGTTGTGGTTTGTTGTTTGGGAGACTTCTTGGCGATGTCTTGAAGGTATTTGGGTATTAGAATGTTTTTTTTTTTTTAAATTTAATGTACATACATTAAGGGTGGTAACGTGCAATATTTAATTTTGTATTATTATTAAAGGGTGACTTCTATTCAAAAAACATTTGTAATATAGGCTGGATATTGCTGCAAAAAAAAACTAGCATTTTATACATAATTGATGACGTCAGTTTAAATTTTCAATTACTTATTTCAAATTAAAATCTGTTTTTTAATCACCTTCAAGACATTGAATAAAATTTAAGCAAAAATGCTCACACCTTCAAATATTCTTATCTCATCGTCAAGCATGATTGATATAATAATACACTCTATTACGGAAAAGGATGCGAAGGATTATTTTATAATTTTTTTTTTAATGCATCTACTTCATTTTTCTGTATTAATATTTGTTTTTAAATATTTTTTTATATTTTTATATAATTTTATGTTGTGTTAAATATATAGGTATAATATGTATTAGATTTGTGTTTACTAAAACTTTATGTTTTCTGTGCTGAGGGGTGCCTTCGAAATAGTGCAAAATTCATTTAGGGCAAAACACTTGGTGACTTGCATGCTTATTCAAGTGCCCTGTCATACTATTACCATGGGTAAAATTCGGCCCATTTTCGAACACACTCCACATGTTAAAAGGTACGGATGAAAATAATTATGCAGAAGAATCCTTGATTTTTAAGATTTCTAATGTTTTGTTTCCTGAGAAAATACATACACTGAGTATTTTTTCGAACCTGTTACAATCTAACTTTTTTTGATTAAGCAGGCATACAGCTACTTTGAGAAGGTAGATACATATTTTGAATGCCCCAATTATGAATAATATTGTCAGATAACTCCGTAACGCAAAATTTTCGATTATGTTTTAACATACTTTCAATCTACTTGTCACGGAGAAATTATTCGATGGTTCAAAAATTTTAATCAAAGAACGAAATGCATGATACTTTGAACATTCTAGCAGTTTAAATTTTACAGCTTATCAAAGTTGCAGAATTGCCTATTTTCAGCTGTCGATATTTCAAAAACAGTGAAATTTAGGCAGGCAAATGAGAGAACACATATTTTTTTTTAATGCCTGTTGACCAAATCTGCGAAAAAGTCAGCATACTTTTCTCAATTAGACCATCTTATAAAAGTTTGCTTTTGAAAGTATATTATGATTACATTCTCAAATAGCAATATAGAGGCTGTCACACTGCAATATGCACAAATTAATTGCCCACCTTCAAAACAAGTTGGGGCAAAAACAGACAAATTTGTATGAATTTTAAGTACGGGTAACATGATACAGTTTGAGTTCTGTTTAAAATGAGTATTTGTAGAGTTATTTTAGGATAATTTTTACTTTTTCTTTTTTTCGCCATCTTTTATGTAAAAAATATCATCCCTAAGTCATATTTTTACAGTGCATTTTTTTTAAGGGGCTGTATGTGGTAAATTTTCAACCCTATTTTTTATTGAAAGTAAAATGATTGTTTGATTGTGCAAAAATGCATTTGATTAAAAAAACAAGTGAAACATTTCTTAAAGCTTTTTGGCACATTATGGTAATCTTCCATTTCTACCTGCCTATAGTTTCAGCTCTTTACCCTTGAAAAACCTGGGACCTAATATAGAGCTAGAAAATTCACCATTTAAAACCCTGAGGCCTGTTAAAAAATACTCTATGACCTAGAAAATTGTGTTTAACTATAATAACCTTGTACGAAAGAAAGTTTAACATACCTAACTGAACAAAAACAAAGTTTTTTTTATATATTTATTATTTTAGTTATTATTATTGAAATTATTGTTGCATGTTTTTTCAAATATCCCTATGTTACAAAATAAGTGGAACTTCATGTCAGAACTGTTTCAATTGAAAGGTGAAATCCTACTTTTTCTGTGAAATATTGTATTTTCAACTTTATTTAAAAAATAGCAAAGGTTTAATGTAATATCTTTTTCATAGGATGTTTCTTCGAATTTTAAATAAACTATAGTTTTTCAGGATTGATCCTTTTAATTTAAACACTTCTATCTACATTTTTTACGCAAGTATCGTTTGATTTTTAGATTGTTTTTTTTGCCAGCAGCTTTAATAAGTATTAAAAATTCAGCACTTTGCCTTAACTGTTTCATTCTACTTTAGTATTGTGTGAGAAATGAAATCATTGGCAATTCTCTATAAACTATAAAGATTCATATATTTGTGATATATTCTAATAAATTTGCTTTTGAAGAAGAAAAATCTTCGAAAAAATATGAATCGAACAAAGTTTTTTTGTAGCTACAGCATAATATTTTTATATAATAGTAAGTAGAACATATTTTAGTTTCTAATTATAATGTAGTAACATTGTATGGCATGATAAAAAGGTTCTAGTTATAATTTAGCTTAACATCGTATTTGTATTATATGTATAGTACCTAATTCAAAATTTCTAGGGTATCATATTCAGGGAAATTTTAAAGTTTCTTTTCTATTGTAAATAAAAAAAATCGTTCATTTCTGTGATCTTTGCAAAATCCGATTTTGCATTATAATGTAATCCAATAACTATTGTATAAAGGCCAATATTTTCACTTTCGTGATTTTTTTATTCTTATTGGTTAATGTTGGTCATGCGAAAAAAAAGGAAATTTAATTCCCTCAAAAATATATTTGGCTTTAATGAAAATTGATCAAATTGTAATAAATTGTTTTTTGATTATATTTTTGGAAATCTTTCATGTTTTGATATACCTACTAAAACTCAAGTGAAAAATAAGTTATTTGACTAAAGACACGTTGACAGGACAATGATAAATCGAGATAATGATCGATTTAAAGAGACAGGAAAAAGGAAAATTTATGGCAGTATGAGCCAAAAGGTCCAGGTCACTATGATGACTGCCAAGAGAACAATAATGTATCTTATTGTATATCCTCATAGGCATAAATTTGTGGATATGGCAATTTGGGTTCTCTGCTGCATGGCTCTTGATCTCCGTGCTTCACAATTTCAAGAATTCTTTCCTCCTACCAAGAGAGTCTCAATTCAAAAAATAATTATACACTGCACCTCAAAGATACATACGATGAAAATTTGTTTGGGATTGCTCCTTTTCTCCCGTTATTGCGATGTGCCAATGAATGGTCAACAAGTTTCAACTATCAATTGATTTGAAATCTGGGGATACCGGGGAACACCCAATGATCAGGGGAGCCCCCAAGTCTTAGGTGTATACAGAGTGGCACGATTAGGACACATTTAATAGGAAACATCAATTTTTTAGTGAAATTCAAAAAACCGCATTTTGATATGTTCATCCGTTTCACCGCTCAGTGGCGTTTCTTGATTTTGAAAAATTTTATCAAAACTTCATAAAATCTTTGTTTCTGAAAAGAACTGATTTCTGCAAAAACTACCTCTGTGAATGAACTTTTCAAAGCAGAATTTGGCGGCGAACTTCAAACTGACAACAAGTATGAAATTATGTACTTAGGTTTATTCTATCAAAAGCTATGAGGAACGTCTTTCTCTAGCGCATTGGTCTTGTGAAAGAAACGACTTTTTTAAATTTTATTCTTGAAAAATATTCGGGATATGTAAACTTGACCGCCCATCTATTGAGAACATACTTAAAGCATTGCAAAACTTTGAATTAATTTAGCAACAAAAATAACTAGAATTGTTATAAATTATATATCATCGAATAGATAAAAGAATGAACTTTGCTCCCCTTGAAGCAGATTTTTGCTTCAAATTCGTATTTTGAAGAAAATAATTTGTAAAAATGAGGTATGTATTTTCTTTCAATTTTGGTGACCAAAATTTAATAAATGAAATAAAAATTCCAAAAAATACATCAAGAATAACAAAGATCAATGTCTTCCCTATTATAAATTTTTAGCAAAAGTCAATACCTTTTGTAGTTTTTACGAAATTACAATAGAGCTGAACGCAGATTTTGGGTAAATTTCAGGCGAATGAGTGGACTCTTAATAGTAGGGTTCGAAACTGCTTCTATTGTGTCATCCCGTTTGCACTTTTTGCTAAAATGTAAGGACTACTTTTTATCATCTCTAATACTGAATGCAAAATCAACAGGTCGTCTAGAAATCGTCGTGTCCAGGGGGTGGTGGGGGTGAATTTTGCAAAAAATGCCCAAAAAATATTTTTATTCATCAGATTAGGATTTTCAAAAAACCAATGTATTCCCTGATCTTCAATACATAACGTTTATCGAAGGTGTTTTTTTGATAAACCAAGTGGTTTTCAACTAACAAAATAAGTAGGTGAACGATAACCTAAAACTGAGTTTTCAGGACAAGCGTTTATTCGTTAAGGAACTACATTATGAAAGCATTACGAAGGTTGTTTTAAAAATTAAAAAATTGTTTGTGCATTTTTTGCAAAATTCACTCCCACCACCTCCTGGACACGACGATTTTTCGACGACATGTTGATTTTGCATTCTTAGGGCCGATCCGATACTTTTGCTCTTTATTAACGAATTTGATACGTCGTCAAAGTTTTGCATGGGCCAAGGTCTATAAGTTTGATGTGGTTAAAGCACATTCAAACCCCTGATTATTTTTAACGGCTGTCAAATGAGAGCAAAAGTACCGGCACTAAGGGTATTAGAAATGTTAAAAAGTAGTCCTTAGATTTTAGCAATAAAGTGCAAACGAAAATCTGTTTCAAGAGACTTCTGCAAGCATTTAAACTCTACTATAACTCGTTGAAATCAGTTCAAGGATCTTCAAGACCCGTGACGTTTTGACCGGTGGAGTATCTCCGGTCGTTATCAAAACTGAAACAATTCCTTACTAGTTCATCTACAATTTCAACCGCAATTTCAAGGAATTTTTATATCTGCTTGACATTCACCGTTGCAGAGGTATATGGAAAGGCAAGGATATGGGTACTGTTAGAGAGCAAATAATAAGTGACCTGGGAAGATGGCATGACTCAAATTTGTTGAGTTTTAATTCAAGAAAGACTAACATAATGACATTTAAATTTGTATGTGGGGATATAGTTTTAGAATCGGAGAGAGTTGTAAAACCACATGTAAATTTCGTGGCATTTGTCTTGACAAGCAATGCCAATCCAACACTCGCATAGAAAGTGTAAATGGTAAACTGGTGAGTGGATCGTATGCTATTCGAATTGTGAATGAATTAAATGAACTTTAGTCAAAAACATCTCTATATTGCACCTAGATGCATCTGTATGTGCCATGTTGCTTATAAATGTTTATTAATAAGTACCTACTCAATTTACATTCACAGAATCAACAACCTTCTGAGTTGTCACTATACCTAGTCCTATAAACACTCCCACATAACACACACAAAAAAAACCGCCATTCCTCATCCAAACAAAACAAACCCTTCATAGTCCCTGCGGTTCACGAAAAAACGTAGCAAATTGGATTAAAAGCGTGAAACTTGGCAGAGGTGTTTTTTAGACTATTTCAACTGATTTGACCTGCAGCACCTCCGTGCAATATCTTTCCCCTGCGATGAGTTAAAAGACTATGTTCATAGAGCACTCGAAAAAAAAAATTTGGTACACCTTTATATTGTTCATTCGGCCAGGAAAGACGATGTTCCTAGAGCACTCGAAAAATCTGGTGGTGCGCCTTTATATTGTTCAGTTTAATGAGCTACATAAGGCCAAAAATCGAAAACATCCTACTAACATTAAGCGCAGCTTACCAGGCGGATCACATTTGGGGTAGAGCGGATGAGATATACCAAAACTGTCTCCCTACACCTTTTTTCCTTTCTTGCAGCTTGAGATATCAATGAATTATCCGCTTCAGATAGGAAGGCCGCCTATTTTAGATTTTTTTTTCTGTGTGTTGTTAGGTGTGATCCAATATATTCACTACTGCTGCTGCTGTAGAGCTGTATCGGTGACCTGTATAGATTCGAAACATATTTTTTTGGATTTCTCATGCCAAATTCTATATAAATCGCCATTACTTTTGTTTTGATAAGTCCGAATGTAAAAAAAAATATATTTTTGACCCTATGTCAAATATGACAGCAATCGAGCCCTACCGTTGGCTCCTATGAAGATGAGATACATTTTTTAATTTCCTCATATTCGGATTAGTCTAAAATGACACCAGTATTGAAATAATCTGATAACATAGACGTTTTTGGTAATTTTAACCCTTTAAAAATAAAATAGGGGTTAAACCACCCTCCTGAGGGATGAAATTTGAGGTGCTGCGGGTCAAATCACTTAAAATAGTCTAAAAAACAACTATGACAAGTTTTCATGCTTTTAATTCAATTTGCTACATTTAACCCCATTTTGATGGTCTACCGCATAGACTATACAGGGTGTATATTTTAAGCGCCCTTCATTCCCTTTCTAAAAATGACATAATAAATTCAGGTCCGTATTTGAAAAAATGAAGTTGATGATGGTAGCTCGATCACGGAACGTCGGATTCAAAATTTGAGGATGCCATATTGAAGAGCGAAAAAAATTATAAAACTTTCAAATTTAAATTGTGTCTCGAATACCAAGTTTTCGAAATAATTGATATGAAATAATTTTAGGCGTTTTTTGGAAATCACCCTGTATTTCATAAACTAAAAGGAATTTGGCAACACTGTAAAAAAGTCTTGAATGGGCATCAAAAAAGGCAACTTTTTTCTAATTTAACCGACCTTGTAGGTCTTACCGTTTCGGATATAGCAACAGTGGTATCACTTAAAATATACAGGGTGCTGCAATTTGGAGTGTTTTAACAGGAAAAACATACTTCCAGACCAGATAGAGGAAAATTGACTTAGATGCCATGGGATTGATTTTCGAGAAACGTCGACTGTCAAAAACCGTATCACGATATCTTCAATGGTACCATTGATACAGGGTGATTTTCGATTTTCCCCTATTATGAAAAATAGCTATAAGGTTTTTATTTATCTTTTTTTTTTATTTCTGTAAAAACATTATGGAGAAACTTTTTTGAGCACAATCCAGTGGCAGACTCAGTTTTTTTCTATATCGCTCCGATTTCGAGATATCGACCAAAGTCCGATATTTTCAAATGAAACACCCTATATAATAATAGCTCATTGGATAGCTCTGTTTTTACTGATTTCAATGATATAAAGTTCGATAGGTTTATCTCTAACAGTTTTCGAGAAAAAAAACTTATATCTGTCTTTGTCGTAAGGACTAATGTGTTAAAAAAGGATTTTTATATGTGTAAGGAAAATCAGGAAGGTCTCTTGCTAACACATTGTTTCTTATGACTGAAACAGATATATTTTTTTTTCTCTCGAAAACTGTTAGAGATAAACCTATGGAACTTTATATCATTGAAATCAGCAAAAGCAGAGTTATCCAATGAGCTATTAATATATAGGGTGTCCTATTTAAAAAAATCGGACTTTGGTCAATATCTCAAAATGGGAGTGAAATAGAAAAAAACTGAGTACGCCACTGGATTGTGCTCAAAAAAGTATCCCAAAGATGTTTTCACAGAGATTAAAAAAAATGATAAACAAAAAACTTATAGCCATTTTTCATAATACCTAGATGAAAATCGAAAATCGCCCTGTATTAATGGTACCATTGAAGATATCGCGATACGGTTTTTACCAATCAACGTTTCTCGAAAATCAATCCCATGGCATCTAAGTCAATTTTCCTCTATCTGGTCTGGAAGTATGTTTTTCCTGTTAAAACACTCCAAATTGCAGCACCCTGTACATCCTGTATATACTACTCACAAACTCAAAACTACTTGTTTGGCGACAGTCTTTATAAGGAGGTCGACACTTTTTAACTCCCTGGCAGGGGAACAGCTTCTCTCATATTGTCCCAACCGTCTATATTCATATATTCTTTTCACTGTAGCCTAGGTTGTTATGTGCATATTTCTATTTTATCAAAAACCTCAAATTACCATGGAGCTAATAAGTTTTGCTTTTCTAAATGCTGGATTGGTAATTACTTCTGTTAGCCTTCGCATTCTACTGAAATTGGGCTTTGGTAGTTCTCAAAATGATGAGTGTAAGAAAAGGCACACATAGAAAACACATGAAATTCTGGCAATAAAATAAGTTCACTGAAAAATACACTCTCAAGTGGTCAAAAATAATTGTTTTATTTCCACAAAAAAAAATATATTTTAATGAATGCTAGTTTTACCGAAATTATTTTTGAATATAAAGTAGGTTACAAAAATTCATAGCCATCACAAATAATACCTTTATTAATAACAACTGAAAAATAATAATAAAGTAAATATCGATCAAGTGATTATAAAGCTAAGAACTTTCAACATAAAGAAAATGATAAAAAATAAATTTAACATGCATAACAGTTGTCAAAGTTGTATGCTTTATCACAGTTAGTTATATAAAAATATACCAATCAATATTTGGGGGTCACTTTTCATTTCAAAAATCTGTCACATTGTAAGGTGACAATATAAAAGCGAACCGAACATACATTTTACATATTATTCTATATCAAGATAATCAATAATATTAATATAATTTAATACGGTATATGTATTTTTCATCAACAACAAATATGTAGGTAAGTAATTACACAAATACTTATACAAAGTGTCCCCTCTATGGCTTCAGGCAAACACATCCAACTTGATTTTAAGCTGAACCATGCCTAAATTGATATTTCCAATCAAGAATCATCGTGAAGTGAAGCTGAGACTTTTCTTACTACTTTATTTAATAATTTTATTGTTTAATATTCATATGGGTTTCATCAATTAACGTAAATCACTGCAAGTCACAGTTAATAACCTAAAAAAATTCCAAAACATAACATTATAAGTTTGGAATTTTCTAATTCAACGCTTGCAGCAATTTAAATTGATAGCGGAATTATTCTTGACTGATGTACAATATATCTGCAAAGGTAGCAGTGCTGAGCGGCTGAAAAGCCGAAACGACTTCCCCGCAATCTATTCTTGATTGCAAATTCAATTTCAAATGTTTTTTTGCCTTTCAAATTGAATATTTATATTCATAGGAGTCAAATCATCCCCCAGGTTGCTATATAGCCACCTTCCTCAAAATTTTTGAGTGAAACAGATTAATTACGATAATAATATCTAAAGTTCCTAAAGGATAATTCAACTTCAATGATATAGTTCCAGTTTTGTTTCCCTGTTGGTGTATCAGCAACGAGATCAGTAATTTAGAAAACAAATCTTCCTTGAAAAGTTAAGGACGTTCCGTTTCAAAATAGACACTCCAATAAACTTTTTCATGTGATTTAAATGTCCCAATAAAAAACACTCTAAATACTATCACATTTTAATGTTGGCTGGTTCATTTTTTGTAGACCTAAATCATTAAGCTTCTGATAAAATATTTGAACAAAAGATTTATAGGTCTTGCAAAAATTGACTGCTATTATTAATTGTTCTATTTGGATGTATAATCTGATTTATAGCACTATAAGAGACTGATACAACAAAAATTCAGGATGGGCTTCCACAACTAATGTATTGGCCATCATATCATAACTAGTACGATTATAAGGAAATATATAGAAAGTAACGCATAAAGGTAGCAATAATCCTACCATCAGATTTTTCAAAATTGATCTCAGAAGCGCTCTTTGCCAACCAGCCGTTTTTACTCCTGTAGCTGTAACTGTTTCTATGTTCTGTCCGTTGGGAACTAGTGTTAGGGTTTCTACATTTACCACCATGAGACCCAAGCAACGTTTTCCTGGTGTAGCGCACATTTTGCCTCGAAGAAAATATGTCTGGAAGGAATAATATAAGTTGTTTGTAAGGCCAAATTCGAATTACATAGGATAGAGATTGAAGTTTACCGGTAATTTTCATTTGTTCTTTCTCAGTGGTAATTTACCGGTAATTTTCCGGTAATTTTGGGAATATTTCATAAAACAAACAATTATGACTATATTATATACTATATACGTTCAAGGATTATATATTTCCAGAGTTTTTTACCTTAACAACCATTTATTATAATATTGTTTGTTGTAAAACTTAACCTCGTAGAAATATTACAATACTTAAACAAATAATAATACCTAATTCCTAGAACGAAAAACGAACAAAGAAAATAAAACAAAAATAAAACAGAAATAAATTCCTAATCTGGTGCTAAACTAAATAGTAAAGTAAATACCTACTTTCAAAGGGCAAAAAGAAACCAAATAAATAAAATGATCTGAATAAGTATAGCATAATGCCCGTATTACATCTGTGTATTTTTCCATGTATTTATTCATGTAGTTCAGGGTGACAACCGAAAAACTTCAAACGCAACATACATCAGCATTATGAAAACAAAATAATGTTGGCACCCTGAACTACATGAATAAATACACGGAAAAATACACAGATGTAATACGGGCATAAGAGATACCTAACTGTCAAGAAAATTAATTACTTTAAGCGTGCAGCGTTGGCAAAAGCCCGGATTTTTGGAAATTTCTTTTGGTTTTTTGGATTTTTGCGAGAGTTGTGCTTTTGTAGGCTTTTGTGCTTTAAGATCTTTGACTCTTTGACATTCCAAATAATCTCAAACTCAGAAGTCAACAAAAACCCACTGAGTTTTTGGAATAGGCTTTTCCTACGAGCACAATATTTTAATTCAAGATATAGGTACTACATATTTTTTTACTTTAAATCAAATTACTATCTATAGGTACTATTTTCCATTCAGAAAACCTAGATCTTACACAAATTTTTTGATCAATTTTTGATAAATAAGATGGGGAGAAACACTCGTGGAAAAACATTACACCTAACTCTTGCGGAAAATGTCTTTTCCACCCTTGACAGCTTGTCAACTGCCGTCGCGTGCGGAAAAGCACCACTTTCCGAACTTGTTGGGTAAATAACTATTTGTTTATGCCAACTGTGAAAGCGCGTTACAGATTCACAACTAGATGGCGAATAATGCATGAAAAGGATTGTCGCCCGAATGTGATTTCATTCAGGAAGCATTTCTGAAAATTACCGGTAAAGAAATTTGTCGGGTTAAATTACCAAAATTACCGTTACCGCGGTAACGTTACCACACTTTAATCTCTAACATAGGATATACAATAAATAAAAAATGAAAAACTAGAAAACTAGCTGTTGATTAGCAAAAAGGAGCATTTGGTTGTTCTCTGGAATGATTGTCACAATATGGTAGACTACTGTTTTTCCAGTTTTTTGGCAGTGATGTGATGTTAAAGCGTAACACAGAGCCACTGGAACACATTTATTCTAACTGTACTACTGCTGAACACCTCTGAATGATTTCTTTCGATTGCTGCAAGCACACGTCTGTGTTGCTTGTATAAATTGCAAACAGGTGGGTCCTTCTAGTTTTTTATTCATTGAGGATAAGTATATGACTTTTGGAATTTACATTATTCTAATTGGATTTGGAAATATCCCATAACTAAGAGATCAGAAAAATGTAAAATCACAAAAAAATTACTTTTTTCAGCCTTATGTATGACGGGACTCCAAGGCTCCAAGAAACCTACGCTTCAATGCTGTGCACATCTGTAAGCAAATCTATAACTTTATAATATAAGCCTATAGATGCCTATAGACAATTTGCAATTCTGCACTTCCTGTAGCTTACAGAAAATTTTATAGAAATCATCAATATTTCCAATCGGGTGTTTGACAATCGATGCGTATTGCAGTGTCTATAGGCTTATAGAAAGTTATAGATTTGCCTCGAGATTTGCTTACAGATGTGCACAGAATTGACCCACTAATTGCCGTCGACTCAAAACGAGTTTTAATAGCTTCTTGTGATTTGAAAAGCTTCATATAAAAACGCAATAACTTAGTAGACACAGTGAAAAATAACTTGAAAAGTGAAAATAAATATAATTATAATAGAAAGAGAAACATTAATCAAAATTTACCTTACCTCAAAAGCACAAACTATGAATCTATGCAGAAATTCTAGCAAGACCAGTTCAAAGGCCAATGGGAAATTCAGTTCTTGTCCTTCTAGAAATCCCTTCTGCAAAATGTCCAAACCGTACAAATCAAACGCATTTCTGGAACCAGATTCAAGTAATTTACTAATTGTAAATGTAAAATACTAAAATATACTCACCCAATACTAAAGCTTTCCATGAATAAGAAGGTAAGAGCCAGTTTTACTATGAATAGAATGCAAAAATCAATAAGCTCAGCACATAATCGTTTCCATAGGGGTGGAATTTTGAATTGGTAAGTAGTAGGAAGCCTTAGTAAGTTTGGTGGCAAAATGACTAAAAAAAATACATATTTATAAGCTGATGCAATATAGGTACATATTTGCGAATCACTATTTTTTTTTAAGAGGAACTTATTGAAATGGAACACCCTGTTTTTTCAATACTGTAATTACGCTTTATAAGTTGGTACCCAAGTTAGTATCTAATATGTTCCTTCAAGCCAATTTCAAAGATATATGGTTCAATACATATGGAAAAAATCGAAAACACCCTTACACAATACCTAAATTAATATTATTACAAAGTCTGTGCACCCAGAGGTTACCCATAACAAAGTACTCGGCATAACCATTAACCCGCCATAAATATGGCACAGGGCTGACAATGAATAAGTACAAGACTAAGTTGGAATTTAGAACTATAAAGTCCTTCTTCCTAGGCTTTTTCAAACTCTTCTTAAAATTTTTGAGTGATGTTGAAAATCAATATCTATACAGGGTGTATATTTTAAGTGATACCACTATTACTATTTCGAAAACGGTAAGAGCTACAAGGTCGGTTAAATCAGAGAAAAGTTGCCTTTTTTGATGCCCATTCAAAACTTGTTTACAGTGTTGTCAAATTCCTTTTAGTTTATGAAATACAGGGTGATTTCTTAAAAACGCCAAAAACTATTTCATCAACTATTTCGAAAACTATTGATATTCGAGACACAATTTAAATTTGAAAGTTTTATAACACATGGCATTTTCAAATTTTAAATCCGACGTTTCGTAATCGAGCTTCTATCATCAACTTCATTTTTTTTAATATGAATCTGGTCTTTTTATGTCATTTTTACAAAGGGAATAAATGGCACTTTCTAAAAATGACATAAAAAATCCAGGCCCGTATTTAAAAAAATGAAGTTGATGATAGTAGCTCGATTATGAAACATCGGATTTGAAATCTGATGACATTATGTTGTAGAGCGAAAAAAACTAAAAAACTTTCAAATTTAAATTGTGTCTCGAAAATCAATAGTTTTCAAAATAATTGATGAAATAGTTTTGGGCGTTTCTTAGAAATCACCCTGTATTTCATAAACTAAAAAGAATTTGGCAACACTGTAAACAAGTCTTAAATGGGCATCAAAAAAGGCAACTTTTTTCTAATTTAACCGACCTTGTAGCTATTACCGTTTCGGATATAGCAATAGTGGTATCACTTAAAATATACACCCTGTAGAGTAGTTGCATATTTGAAATTTTCGGGATGTTTATTATTGATATTTACAGAATTTCAAAAACAATTAACTCTCGCATGCGGAAGTGCGATCATCTTTTTTATTTCAATTGGATCACCTGCTATGCCTACCTACTCCTACTACATATTATAGTTTTGGATTCTACAAGAAATTCTGATCCAGGATCAAGTCAATTGTTTTTATGCTGAAATTCGGCATCAATCAAGTAATCCTCTGGTACTCTGTAATGAATAGAGATATTTTGTCTATTGGCGTCCCCTCTCTATTGAGTTGGAAAAGAGAGAAGAAGATAGCAAGTGCCATAGTGATGGGAATAACTGAGGGGATAATGATCTCTATCCGTTACAGAGTCCCAGACCTTATATCAGGGGCCCGATTCTCCTCTCAGGGAGTAGAGCTCTCCGATTTTGTCCTTGTCAACGTAATCGAAAAGTAAACAAGAATGATGAAGATGCAAAATTTGTTCTCTCGGGGAGCTCTACTCCCTGAGTTGAGAATCTGGCCCCGGGTGTTGCATTGCAAGTTTGGGTCACCAGTATAGCCCCATATTATTTTGAATTTTATTCAAAAGTTCAGTCACAAACCAATGTAAAAATAGCTGGGCCATATGAGATGACATCACAAGTGAAGGTTATGTGATGTTGCCAGACAATTTTTAATTTTTTTTAATGTGTGCATTGTGTAATTATATCACTATTATTTCCAAATGAGGAGCTAAAAACAATTCTAAGTTAAACCTTATAACTAAGTATGTTCATATTTTCGCAAATTCAGTTGCTAGGTATAATAGGTCTGTTCTCACAGAAATCACAAACCAGTCGGGGCGTTTTTGATTGGTTCAATAATTCTAATAGTCCAATTTGCAGAATGGTCAGCAGAATAGTCACTTACTATGATATAATTAAATATTATGAAGGTAAAGTAGCCAAGGTTGCTAGTGTTATTTGGCATTAGGTATTTCTGTAAAATAAAAATTGCATCTAAAATAGAACATGATGGATGAATGTAAAACGACTTTTATGGCTGGTTTATACAACATTTGCATAGTCGTAATCATAATCATAGTCTTAGTCATAAGAGTTAAAATAATATTTTCTTATGGAACCGTTTATACACAAATCATAATCATAAGCATAAGCATAAGCATAACTCAAAGTTGGCAACTTTTAACTTTTATGATTGTGACTAAGACGAGATCCAAACTGCGCAAGCGCCATTATCAGCTGTTACAGAGAAAAACAATTCAAATCTGCTATTTTAGTTCTGTTTGTATTTAAATTGATCTTGAGTCATTCTAGAGTATTTAAAAAAAAGGGTCTCCATCAAGCTTCTACATGTCTTTGAATAATGTGGCAAAATGCCCTTCCTTCTGCCTTTTTTTATTGATGGGACTCACTTTCCACCTTCTTTGTTTATGGTTTGCGTTTGTTGAAGTTGTTTATTAACAAAACTCAAAAATAAATAGGACAGACCTATCACTTGTATGGTTTTCTTTCGCAGAATTTTAATTTCCACACTTTTTGAAACTTTGAAAAAGTATTAAAAGTAAATAGACGAGTTCGATTCGCAAAAAGTAAACAAATTCTCCCTACAAAAAGTCGGGTTAGAGTTGATTTTATTTTATGCTTATGACATTGTATAAACGCCTTCTAAAATTGTGATTATGATTAAGACTAAGACTAAGACTACGATTATGATTACGACTATGCAAATGTTGTATAAACCAGCCATTAAATAACATGACAAAATGAACTTTTGAAGTTACAAATAAATTTTAATTACTGGATAGAGGGCCTACTGTCTACTTATACTTATGTATTGGCTATTTACACTCACAGGGATATGTTTGGTAGAAAGGTACCCCATTGAAAGTAGCAGCATTATTAACATTTCCATTAGGGACCTGTTGATTATCATTAAGTCTAGCACCATCATTGAGCCCTCGATTGAACCCAAATGCTGGAACTTGATAGAAAGCTGCATACGGATTTATTGCATTCTGTTCCCGAGCCGAAGCACCCCCAACATCTGGGAACGGTAATCCAGAAAAGTTATTGGAGAATCCAGCTGACAAGCTGTACCATAGCCTAGCTTCCTCCAACCACTGCGTCAACTGTTGGAAATATTCTATTCTTTCTTGTTTTATTTTCGGCCAGTCCATTTCGGAGGAAGACGATTTCGTTTTTGTTTTATTTTCCGGCGTTTCCATAATTGGGTAGGTATTTCAATTATTGATTTGTTATTTTTCTATCTTTTTGTTTTCTTGTCGCCTAAAGTACATACCTTACCCACTACTGTCAACTCTCAAACGACCCAAACCACAAATCACACTTATCACAGGATCAAATTAAAATTTTGCAGAAAAAAGAAACAAATCACAAACGTTTCAGGATTACGATTAATTAACAATTAGCGATTAAGCGAATAGAAAATACGAAAATAAAAATAACATCGACTCACGACTGAACTATGACGAGTGTGACATTAGGCAATGCTATAGTCCTTTTCACGTGGCTCTGGTTTAAACGGGTTTAAACTAACCGGGTTACAAAACGGTTAGTAGCGGTATGTCAAGCGATGACGTCATTGAAAATGCCACTTGAAAACGAACGGTTAGAAAAATGTTATTTTAAATTAGAAAATCCAATGACCTGTCAATATTTATAATAGGTTGATGTAGCCTCTAGTCAAGGATGATACACACTACTACTACAGGATGGCCTATCCTCACAAGGCCTGTGTGTTACAAATCCCCCCTACCCCCCAGACCAATCAACTAGTTGTGGCGAAAGCAGCATAGCCTTTCTCGCCTTGACATAGGCTGTTCAAACAGCTGACGACTTAGTTATGACGTCGGCAATGGTTGAAAATCAATATGGCGGCGATTACCAAAAACGAGGCCGATAAGGACTCCTTAGAGTGTGTATTCTCCTTGGAGGGAGTTAGGGGAGTATCACACAACACAATTGACACATCACCTAACCCAGCATAATCTGATTATCCTCGCGAAAAATTGCCTATAGTGTGGCGACCTCGAGTGAATGACGTGCAATCGTCCAACCAGACGTGTGTGATGCCTAAGTCTGATGCTACTAGCTCCTTGTAGCCAGCTTCTTGCCCCAAATATGATCCGCGAACGTAGTCGAAAGTGTGAAGTGAGCTCCTTGCGTACCACAACTTTTATTGCTTATAAAACTGAATAAGAATATATTTTTTAAATAAATTTAAAACAGAATATACCTAAATTTATTTTTTAACCAACAACAAGCAACAGAATCAAAATAATATCGAGTTAGGTTAGAGTCGCGATTCAAATCAAGGGAAGTAGGGATGTGTGTAATGTAGTATTTTGTACTATCTCAGTCCAGGATCAGATTTTCGATATAAAATGTTTAGGGCAGTTATGGCCGTTTCCACCAACTATTCTAGGGAAGTCGTAACGATAAGTATTCCCTAAACTGACAGTTGTCCATGGAGAAATGTCAGTTTAGGGAATACTTATCGTTATGGCTTCCCTAAAATAGTTGGTGAAAACGGCCATCAGAGGCTCAATAGTACTCTACTGAACCCACCCCTCAAAGTTGAGGGACAAGGGACAAACGAAACTTTCGCGGTAAAAAATTATTTACTGTCCAACGTCCAAGGAGCTAGGTAGGTACTATCTCGGTCCAGAACCGGATTTTTGAAATAAAATTTAGGGTAGTTAGAGGGTCAATAGTACTACTCAACTAACTCAACCCACCCCTCAAAATGAGGGACAAAAAAAACTTTCGCGGTAAAAAATTATTACCTCTCCAAGGAGCCAGGTACTATCTCGGTCCAGGACCGGATTTTTGATGTAGGGAAAAAGACTCTCCCTGCCACCTGTGCTGGTGCCTTATTTGTGCGCTGTTGCTTCGGTCTTATAGCTCTATTTATCTCCTAATTGGAGTACCCATTTCCTTCAAGTACCGATTTTAGGTGTTGCATCTCGTCTGCGTCATTTTGTCATTGGAACTACATAGTCGTCAGACAGTGGTGAAATAAGTTGTTGACTTCCTTCGGAAAAACATCTTTCAGATACTCTAAGGCCTGATTCACTGGTACTTTGGTAAACAGCGAGACGACATCAAAACTAAACAGAATGTCGTTTGGTAGTAGAGTGATGTCACTGATCTTTTTGATAAAATGAGTGGAGTCTTTAACATAAGAGCTGGATTGGCCAATCCGTGGCTGAAGGAGAGTGGTGAGGTATTTGGCTATGCTGTATGTGGGCGTCGTGGGCGAATCTATTGCACTTACAATGGGTCTGAGTGGGTAACCTGTTTTGTGAATCTTCGAAAGCCCATATATTCTAGGTTGTAAGGCCTCAGATTTGATGAGTTTCCTTATGTTTCTGGGTCCAACGGTAGTGCTCGGACGAGTTGATTGGTTTTTCGCAATATACATAGAAGCAGTGGGATTGCGCTTCAGCTTTCTGTAGGTGGAGGGGTCTAGCAGTTCGGAAATTTTTGATTCATAGTCAGTCACATTCATGATTACCGGTGCATTTCCTTCATTCGCAGGCAGGACTAGAATTTTTTCCTCAGGGCCAGCGCTAGGTATTGTGCCGCCCTGGGCAATGAGTGAATTTGCCGCCCCATCCCATGGCTTAAGGAAAATGTGAGAGATTTTCGTAGAAAAAAAATCACACATTTTATTATGTGTTAGGTAACCACGAAAAAAAACTAACATAGGAAAACAAGGTCAAATTAAAAGTAATCCAATCCAAACTCTTGGCAATAATCAACAGATAATTCATGTAGGTATACCCTAATAGCACAGAAACGAAAGGTGCGTACAGACCGGGCCAACGAACGCCAACGATTGAGATTCAGCGATAAATACCGAATGTTCGTTGGCCTTCGGAAAAACGTCCATTTTGCATTTACTCTCTGAGCAAACGTTCGTTGGACACGAAACCGCAAAATTCGATAGGCGAATGGATGCCGAAGTTATTATTGCTTGTGCTGCATTTATAATTATCAATGAATAAGAAGAAGAAGAAGAGAGAAAACCAAAACCAAAGCGCAAACAAAAGTGGTGGATGACGACATTATTTTAAAAAAAGCAGATTTAAACTAAACGCTTTGATCGGTGTTTCGTTCGTTGGCCGAACCGTACACACCGCATTCGCCGATTGCCTTTATTTCTTTTGATGTTACAGTAACTCTACGGGTTGCGAGCGAACGCCAACGAATCTTCGTTGGTCTTCGCTAAACCGTCCACACTGCACACAAATTCTTAGAACGAACCCATTCGTTGGCGTTCGTTGGCCCGGTCTGTACGCAGCTTAACAATTCATCATTGCTAAAAAGTAAACCTCAATGACGGCTGGACAACAAAGCGAACAAGCTCAATTAAAACAGAAATATCATCAACATTAACCTCTCCCTATAGAGTGTCAACACCAACCGATAGTTCTCTATGTTTGTTAACCAACCAAACTGCAACGTGAACTAGCTCATATCCCAGTTAATTTGCGTACCTATGTTCTTTCTGTTTACTAGCGTGTTTATTGTTTGCTCGAGTTTAAATTTAACTTGTCAAATTTGTATAGCGTGAATACACAGAACGCCTTTTTCCAATCAACTGACACCAAAGAATAGGCCTATTCGCCTGTCTGGCATAATCTAAGGGCCATATTCTCCGTAGTTGATAAAGCCTGGCTTAGTGGAAACGCTTGGCTTTTTATGTGACAAAGCCGAGCTTTTCCACTAAGCCAGGTTTTATGAACTACGGAGAATATGGCTCTAACTGTTTAATTTATATCCGAATGAAATGGCGGTGGCGTTTAGCATGGTAAAGGCAACTGCAAATACTATAAGTTGTAAAACGGGGCATAATATTGGCCTTGCAAAAGAAATATGTTAATTTGTTGGATAATAAAAGCACCTGCAACGTAAATATTTTTGTTGAAAAACGCATGGTATAATAAGAGTTCCCGTTATGGTAATTAATAACAGTCAATATGATTCGATCAATGCAGCAGCACAGTCATCCGTTGAATTAAAAAAAAAATATGAGAATGGAGATCTCTCTTTGGCTGTGTTGAGTTTCATACGCTGCAGTTTTAAGTTCTTCATAATTAGGGGTTGATGTGAGCACCATCGTTTCTCCTCTCCTTATTTTTCGTTTCGGAGCACTTGCTTCTCCTGCTTTTGGTAGGGCTAATATGTCTTTTGGTGAATAATATAAGTTTTCAATATTGGTTTTCGGTAACATAGTTGATGTGGACTGTGAGTTTCTAGCTAGCACTCTGAGAATCATAGGAGACGGAGCTCTAGCCCTGGAGGGAGCTGGTTGTGGAGAGTAATTAATTTCAAGATTATCGGGTTGTTACTGGGGTCGAGGAGTTAATGGCCTTTCTTCATTTAGTGCCCTATTTGTGACCTCTGCCGGTTTGAATAAATCTTCTGGAAACACATCCGGATCAAAAGGGCGAATTCCACTAACTTTAAATCCGTTAATCGCATTTTGTGTGGCTGCTGCGCTTTTTTAGGCGTTTCCAAAAAGTTCTCCAACTTGGTACACATTTATTACCTTTCCAGGATTATTAATAAGCCATTTTTTTTCTCTTGTTGGTAGTATGAATTAAGAGGAATTATTGAGGCTACATCTAGGGGCTGTAGACGATGAGATGTGTGTGGCGGTACTACTATAATATGAACATGATTTTTGTTTGCTTTTTCGACCAACTTCATATTTTTTGTGTGTGTAGCATGTTCGTCGAAAACCAGTAACAGCGGATCAGTCTCAGTAGGCTTGGAATATTTTGTGAAGTGTTCGAACCAGGCTTCTGAAATTTTTTCACTTTGCATCCACCCAGACGGAAGATATTCGACTATTGATTCAGGGGGAAGTCCTTCCTCAAGTGCTAGGCATTTTCTCACTCTCGGAAATATCAGCGGAGTCAAAATGTGAAATCGAGCAGCGTTAAAGCATACTTCGGCTGTTGTGCCTCTTTCAGCGGAAGAAAGACTGCCAACTTGTTTTTTGCCCGAGTTTTTGCCTTTCATAGAGAATATTCTTGACGGCCTATACCGTGAAAATACCTGTCTCGTCGCAATTGAAAATTTTACTGGGTAGAAATTCGTATTTTTCCAGTATTTTTTCCAAAAGCGTAAAAAATTAGTTAACGTTGAATTTATTAAAGGCGGAAGCTCTTGCTGCTGATGTGTATTCTGTTAGTCTCAAAGAAATATTTTTATTCCTGTTTAGAAACCCCTAGATCCAATCACGCCCTGCCAGACCTTTAACTTCATTGAAGGTGTGTGCAATATTATTTTTTTCCGCAAATTGGAAGGCAAGATAACTCAATTCCCTTGTGCCAAGGCCAAAAAGCCTACTTTCCATCTCTAAGATAAAATCAGCCAGTTCCTTATCTTGTTCTGCGGAAAAAATACGTCTAAATCGTCCCAACAACTTTTTTGATGTTGCTTTGGGTTCC